TGAAATTAGAAATTTTTTTTTTTTTTTAAAGATTTTATTTTTGAGACAGAGAGAATGAGAGACAGAGAGTATGAGAGGGAAGAGGGTGAGAGGGAGAACTCCCTGCCGAGCAGGGAGCCCGATGCGGGACTCGATCCCGGGACTCCAGGATCATGACCTGAGCCGAAGGCAGTCGCTTAACCAACTGAGCCACCCAGGCGCCCATGAAATTAGAAATTATTAATTTTAATTTAGCTTTGAAAGTAACAAAACAGAAAAACATAGATCTTAAATTACATACGTGGAAATTAAGTAAAAATAAAAAGGTCTTAGTCATTTTCAAGAAATCAAAGCTGCAATAAATAAAGCTCATTAGCTTATCTGATACCTAAACCTAACAGAAGAAATGACTAGCTGGTATTACTGGGTAGGCAAACCAATTTATCACTCTGGAATGTTCACACAAATCTCATTAAAAAGTAGAAACATGTTTGGTAAACAGTTTTCCTGACTTCATTCTAAATACAGTAAGAGAGATTCTAAAATTAAAAAAAAAAATTGAGTATAACTGTAAACTGTAATTACAGGTTCACTGTCATTTAGTGTTTAGCTATTAAAACGTATAAGCAACGCATAAGCAAGTCATGTACAAGTGAGAACTTTGGACACCCAATCCTTACTTTTATTTGGCAATTAGAATCAGGCCTATATTGTAACTCCTTTGTGTCAACTTGCATAATTACTCAAATGCATTAAGGGTAACAGTCTTGTCTAAGAAACATATTTGGTTTTATAAAATTGGACTCACTGGTGGTACTCACTCGTATTAAAAATAAAAAGGGCAGAATTGCTGTTAAAAGAAAAAAGTTAATATACCATTGGAAAATTGAGACTACACTGAGACAATAGTAAAGGCTGAACCCATTTAAAAGAAAAGCAAAATCTAAAAATAATTGATTTAACTCTTTTTTTTCTTTTCTTTTAATCCAGTGGTATTTTTTTTTGTGGGGAACAACAACAACAACAAAATCTGCTTTTAGTTCCAAACAGTCCATCTAGATCCAACAATGCACTATTCTTGTCACTACATGGAGTTTTGTTGAATACCTAGTACCCACACTGACAAAATTAAACTTTTGTCCCATCTTCATGAGACTAAAATAGAACCCTAAACTAGAAGGTCATAATCACCGGGTTTAGGAATAAAAACAACTGAACACCTGCAGCCAAAAATATTCTAGTCTCAAATATGTAGATATTTGGGCAAGAGCCCTTTAGACATACTCTTAGAAATTCACAGATTCAGAACTAGCCTGGTCAGATTTTACCATTTTAAAAGGAATGTGTGCACTACTGGTATTTACACTGAATGTAGACTTCCCTCAATACATATCAACAGCCCATCTGAAAAGTTTTATAAGTATTTTGAAAGATAACACACTAATCATAAGTGAAACTTGAGGCATATCCTGATACCATACACAGCACTTTTTGAAATAAAGATTTTAAAAGATTATAAGAAAAATCAAGGCACATGTTTAACTAAAATGCAGGTTCCCCTCCTCTCTTCTCAGGAGCCAGATAAATTTAAAATGTGAGGGATAAAGTTCCTTCCTTCTCTTTATTTTTTTGACAATAGTAATTCTATTGTGATCATCTAGTGATTTTTTTTTTATTTACAAACACATTACTTTAATATGTAGAAGCAAATATCCTAAAGATGAACAAAGCATTTGCTTTTAAAAGTCTTATGTTTAAGTTTAAAAATAAAGGTATTTTAGTTAAGTATGGTTAAATTTCATGATAAAAGCAAACAATTTTATTTCAAGCTCAATAGTATAAAAGTGAGTAGTAGTCTCCACTGTTCAGACTAAAAAACTGATCTTGAAAAATGAATAGGTATTTGGAAAAACTATGCTATGCTATGACAAAACTATTACAGTTCATGCAGTCAGGAAAAATAATTCTCCTTATATTAATGCTTCAGAATACAGCTAACTTAAGTTTTTACATATACATAACAAATGTAGGCTACAAAAGAGAAAACATCAAGAGAATATACTTATCCATCTGCATTATACTAACGAAATGGCTCTAAAACTTCTAGAACTATTAACCCTTCGTAACTATTCATATGTAATTAATTTACAGGATGTCTTCTAATGTTTTTTGTCAATTGGCAAGTCAGAAACAACCAAATCAAATTCAACCTCTAATTCATTAGAATGATAGATCATAAATTCAATATCTACCAATGCACAATATTTTTAAAAAGCAATTAAGGTGTGTCCTATGCTAATTGCTTTTAAACCTCATTCCAAAGCATATTCCATTCAAAATACCCCTGGTATATATATAAGCAGATAATTACCCCTTAGAAACTTCTAGCTCCTTGCAAAGACAGTAGTTACTACAGCAAAACTTTAGAACTGTATGTGGATACATATTTAGCTACTATAAACCTAGAGATGAGAAACACCCCAGCAACATTTAGCATGAATAGATGCATAATCAAGAGAAAAGCCAACACCACATGATTTCACAATATATATACCTGATCACACCATTTCTTTGGAATTAAAACAGAAAAAACAACTAATCAGCGGTATAGAAAGAATGGAGAAAATACAGTAAAAGTGGAAGAAAAAAAACTTAAATGAAAGGATACAGCCTTAAAGCACCAGTCTGAGTTCCGACTGCCAGGATCTTCTGTACAGGATCAAAGGCCAAGGCTGAAGGTTGATAGGGAAATCCATGGCGAACAGTCTAGGGATGGGCAAATGACATCACAGCAACCAAGGCAGCAAGCGGAATTTAAAAAAAGAAAAGTCAATAGAGGCATTAGAATCTAGAACCAATTATAAGTGATACAGAACACATACACACGCACTTACTGCCTTAAAAAAAACAAAACAAAACAAACCTATGAAATCTACATTGACAAAACTTATTCACAAAGAATCTGAAATCAAAAGTGTGTGTGTGTATATAGATACATATATATCTCCCAATGATATATATACATATATATCTCCCAATGTTACACTTTAATTTGTCTTTCCATAATACTGATATTCTATAGAAGAAAATTTCTTATTAACATTCTATACTATCATGTCTGAGACCAAAATACTAAAGTTTGCGGTAGTCAAAAATTCTGTAAATTAATGTAAAAATGCAATTCATGCTTTATTTCAAGTGTGATAACTTTGTTACTTTATTTGGATGCTAAATGCCAAGTACTGCTTAAAAAAAAAAAAGCTGTCCTACAATTAGTTTTGTCGAAGATTCAGTAGGCAATTATCAAACATCTATCCCCAAATTTTGCAATTGTAACAGAATGATACAACATATATTTTTTGCATTTTGCTATTAAACCCTTAATTTTAGGGCATTAAGACAAAAATGTGTATTTAGACATTTTTAAGAAGCTGACATATGAACACACGGTATTTTATAGCAGGTATTAATATCAAGACAAGTTTGTATTTCTCACTGAGCAGCCAGTGAATTAATTCGCTGCATCATTCTTTCCGAATTACAGACCGCTATAGGAATGGTGCCATTAATGGACAAAAATCACAGTACCAACTTTTTAATCAAACATAATGATAAAAAGGACCCTGTGATTTCGTATTTTAAGCTTCTTACCACATTTTAAGAGAAAAGTGACAAGCAAATATCCAGTTGAACAGGTTTGGCTTTTTGGTGAACAATATTCATTGGACACTGTTTCCAAAGGAAACTTCGAAGTTGGTGAATTACATTAAAATGTTTGAATATAAAGGCGCTAAGGTTATTAAGAATACTAATTAAAGAATACTAATTAAGAATACGGTAAAATACGTTAGAAGCAACCTTGAAATGACTGCTGCATGTGAAAAGGGGAAGAAGAAAAAAAAAAAACAAAAGGAGTAAGATGATGTCAATCTCCAAAATAACCCACTAAGCAAATGTTTGCTTGAGGAGGAGCGAACCCTTCATTCGAGCGAGATAAAATTATTAGTGGCGTCCTATCCCCTCGCACTCCCATGAAAAGCCCGAGTCGCCCCCTAAAACGACCCCAATTTTCGCGGGGCTGCGCGCTCCCTTCACCTTGCAGAGCTGAAAGTGCTCGGACTGGAGCGTTTCCTGGATCTCGGGCTCCCGGTTCCCAGCCGGGTGCTGCTGTTGCTGCTGCTGCTGCGAGGCCGAGGACGAGCCGGCGGTCAGGCCGTCCAGCACCTTCCTGATGTTGAATTTCCTCATGGTCTCGGCGGGGCTCCCCCGCAACCCGCGAGGGGGAGGCAAGGGGCGTCCCCCGGCGCGGGAAACGAGCCCGGGCCGAGGGCAGCTTCCACCGAGGACACGGAGGAGTGGGACAGGGTGGGAGTGTGAGGGGAAGGAGGCAGCTGGGGAGAAGCACAAGATAATCCAAACAGGAAATACTGAGACGACGAGAGAGCAGCGGCCACGAGAAACCCGGGCGGCGACCCCTCTTCTTCCGAGGCCGCCGCCGCTCGCCGCGGCTGCTGTGGCGCCGCTTCAGCCACCGCCGCCGCCGCCTCGCTCCGCG